ATAGCCGGATCGTTTGCCTTTCAACCGGGCAGTAACCGCTGAGCGGCACAACCGACATACGATCCTCAATCGCTGCTGGCAAGATCTAAGCAGAGTGAAGTGGACGACAGATGCACGGCGGTCAAAGCCGAGATTACACCGGGAACTCGTCGTTTGTGACCTGGCAACACACCAACCGAATCCTCTCAACGCAGCGAGAAACGAGCGAGCTGATCGGACAGAGACAGCGACGTTGGTCGCTAGGAACAAAGCCTTCCAGAGGGAAGGCTTTTTTGTTTACAGTTCCGATTGCTGCTGTCCGAATCACACGGGGCGAACGTGAGTGAGTCGTACGGGCCGACGGGTGGCATAAACCGATCAGTTGGAGAACCACGCAGTTTGCACCCAGTGTGGGGGTGCAAGCAAAACTGAACGGTTGCCCATACCGACCGCCAAACCAAGATCCGAGGAGCTCTGAAGGAAGCGGCGCACCAGTTAGCGCGCCGGAGAAGACGGTGGTACGGGGAGACCATCAGCCATCGATTCCGAGCTGACAGGCTCCTAGATCATACCGCGGTGTTGGGGCAGGGGCCAAGAAGAATCTGCTAGTCGGACATTCCTGGACAGCAACGAGGAAAGGAGGATCGGAGCCGTGTCAGGCTGCCGCTTGAATCAACCGTGTGGTGCGGTGGCGGAGTTGCAGGCAGCGCAGCTGGAGGCGCAGGGAGGACACGATGCAGTACCGTGAGTACGAATACGAAAATGAAGAAGATTATAAAGAAAAGTTGTAGGAAGCTCGGTAGGGCATAAGCTATAGGAGCGCTGGACTGCATAGTCAAGAAATGTAGAACTGGAGATAGAATAAAATTTGCATGTGGAACTTATTTGACAGTTGTGGTGCGTTTTGCTGTGTTGGCCGGTCCGACCAAGGTCTTCTCTTCCTAGCCGAGGTCGTGTTAACAACAATTCTCATGTAAATTCTCTATCAATTCTTCTCTAGATGTCTTTGGAATTATCTTCGAACATCATTAAAACTTTATTCTGAATTCCTTTTGGAATTCCCCAATAAACAAATACCATAAACGAACTGTATCCCGGATGGGTAAACTATCCCACAAATGGTTTGGATGATACCCCGAATACGTCGTTAAGCTCTCTTTTATGGTTATTTTTATTAGGGTTGCACCTTCAAATTTCGATTCCCTCTGTATTTTTTGCAGAATTCCCTAGGAACTCGCTTCAGAATTCACTTGAAATTATCTTTAGAATTTCCTCATCAAAACTGTCTTGAAATTCTTTTCAGAGCGTATTTAGAATATCAATCAGAAATGGCCCTTGAACTTTCTTCACAATCGTCATCTACTTAAAATTCTACTCTGAACTCTCATAACTGACTTGGAGTTCTAGTAAATGTTCTTCCCAAAAAACCGTTGGAATATTTCACCGTGTTCTTATCCCTTGAATTCATTCTAAAATCTCATCAAAATTTACTTGGAATTTTCTTCAAATCTATTTTATCTGAAGAGAGAACGAAGTATGTTTTTTCCCGATTTGTCATCGAAATTCACGAGCTTTTCCCGATTTTTCCACGGTGATTTCGAATTCCCGACTTTTTCCAGGTTTTCCCGATTTTCCGGTTCACTGGTCAACCTAAAATATTGTGTTTAAATCAAAGCGTTAAAATTTCAGAAACATAATTAAATGGTTTTGATGGAGTCGAATGGAAACTTTGTACGAATTGAAATTTGATTATTTAGCACAACAAACAGGTAAATGCTGTATTTTTAAAGTCGTGAATTAAATAAAAATAAATAAACAATCTAAAAATACTATAAGTCGAGTATTAGTACATGACACTGAGTACAAGAGCACATTGTAGACGAAGTACGCGTATCTGTCAAGGATAAGCAAATAAGGTAGTGGAATTAAATGGAAATTACTAATTCTTCTCTCTCTTTATACAGGTATTCCACTAAGACGCCTATAGAATACTATACTAGATATATATATTCAACCTTCCATTTATTGGTCATACTGGTTTTAATAATGGTTTTAATTTCACGATGGTCTACTGTCTTTTGCATTATTGTGTTCATCTGGAGTGCCAATTTTGCTTCTTCATCAGTTCTTTCGTTACCTGGGATGCCAATTTGACTAAGAACCCAAAAAATAGTCACTGATGTCCCGTTTTCGGTTATTTCGTTGTACAGTTGTATAATTTCATCCTTAAGAACAGTTTGTATGTTCTTTTTTTTTCTAATGTTGTAATCACGCTTAGAGAGTCAGTGCATATAATATATGCACCTACTCTCTCCTGGGTTGTAATCCATCTGAGAGCCTCTATTATGGCCAGGCTTTCAACGCAGTAGATACTAAGATGATTGTGAGATCGTCTGTGTATGATCTCCTCTTCAGTGATTACGCTGAATCCGGTTGCAAATTCATTTTTTGACCCATCCGTGTAAATTGAGTTGTGCAGCGAATATTTGGTATGCATTCTCTGGGCGAATAGTTTTCGCAGTTCGGGTTGGTTATTTCTATTTCTGCTAGCGGCTAGTATAGATTTATCAACTGGTATATTGTTTCTCTACCATGGCGGCATCCTTGGTGTGGTGAGCACTTTACAAGGTGGGAGGGGGACTCCAAGTTTTCCTAGGATATTCCTACTTCTGGATTTGATGTTGTTTAATTCTGTAGTTGGACCTTGGTTCCATAATTCTCCTGAGCTGTTGCTGTTCTCTTCTTCTGAATCACTGATTGTGGAGTTTTGATTGTTAATTGTGAGTTGATTGTTATTTCTTTCGGTAATGTTCGGTGAAATGATTTTGATTTTGAAACGCAACATGTTATCTAAAATCGTTTTTTTTTTAATTATCTGCTTTTGTAAATAAGCAAGCTATGAGTTTCGACAAATTGACGTTTGAATCTTTGTTTACAAAAGAAGATATGGCTATTTGAATATTCACTTTTGATATATCATCGTATCTAAAAGACATCAACATACAGACTGAATAATGATTTTATCTCAAGACTCAAGACTAATTTGAACTCAAACTAAAGTGTATCCGATCAATAAAATTATATCACAGAACATTTAGAAACTATTTTTTTAAATAATAACAGATAAACCATCGTGTTGAACAGTTTAGTGTTTTATATATTTCCTTACTAAACCAGTAGAAAGAAAAGAAGGAACGAGCTCACGGGCCCATTAAATACCTGGATCTGGTTTAGTTAAAATCCTTCGATTTATCCTATAAATTTCCAGAACCTGAAGGATCAGAACTAAGAACAACAATTAAATAGAGTGCCTCAGTAACAAATCTTCCACAATGAAGTTGAAAGATTCTCATCCACCTTCCAAATTTAGTCATACCACTGGTTTTCGGCCAGCAGTACTATGGACCAACAATATCTCCTATACCTTATAAGGCAAACCAGGAAACAAATCGCCGATCACCCGTCTCGGTTCAACCCCACAACCGGGTAGAACGCAATTTCGCTACATTACGAAGCACTATATAATTCAGCACCTCACACGATAGCCCTAATAAATCGCAGCTCCGTTCCCGGTGTGTGATTAGAGCGCGCCCGTGGAATGTTCGTTCGCTATTATAAACTGCGGACAAACAAACGACACTCGACACAGAAATAAAGCGGTGCCAGATTACTGGAACCCTTGGACGAAAGAATAGGTTACACAATGAATCAAACTTCCATGTAGTGCCCCAAATTGCCAACAATCCATCCATCGACAGACGGAAACTCCTTGTGCTTCTCATTAGCGTGAATCGGTTAGTTGAACTTACACACGGAGCAACACTCTTCAGTTGATAATACAGGAATCCCTCGAATAGCGCGGTCCTGTCCTTCATGCAATTGAGCTGATTTTTTGTATGTGATTAAGGTCCACCAGAAACTGGCCACCTACCGGAAATTCTGTGAGTGAACGGCACCACCCACCGCGCTATTCGGAGGATTCCTGTAAATTATACAGTTTTCAAATGTGGACCATAAAGATACGTGCATGATGGATGGGATGTATGATTCATTGACGAATGAAGAGAGGAAAAGCGAAGACCGATATCTTCCATTCGGCCTCTTCCACTTCAAAGTGGATGTACAAATTGATTATTATCAATTTTCAAGTTTGATAAGCAACTTGACGAATTCGAATTGAATTATATAAACATGCAACTGCCAGTACCTCGTCAAATTAATCCGAACGTCATCATCAAATCATATAGTGGAGAAAATTTTCAGTTACATTGATCAATCATCGATTATCGACCCCCAGCCACCAAGAAGACAGAAGTAGACGACTTTAGAAGCCGGCGACAGCCTGCAGACAAACCGTTACATGCTTTTTCCTGTTGTGGTTGGGTTTCTTCATGACGAATCCATCGTGTCCCTGCCCTGAGTTAGTGAGTGAGATTCTTTGTTTGTAAACTTGCCCTGACCAAGACCATGCGGTGTGTAATTCAGCGTAATAGACGCGATAACTAACCGACCGACCCGACCGCGCACATGTGGCCATAGGAAGCCATGAACGCGAGAAAGAGCGCACGGAGACGTGAGTGAGGTCAAAAGCGTTGCGCGGGGAAACGGGAAAACTACTAAATAAACACGACGCAACGTCTCCCGGATGGATAGTAAAGAGACAACGACGACGATCGTACAGAGGAAATCATAACCGGTACCAAAAGAACTAAGGAAACCGAAACTGGAAGAAGAAAAGCGAAACGAGAAGAAGTCTTACAAGCGTTCATATAGTAGAACAGAGTACCTCTCCCGGACCTGGGACGTCGATGCGATGGGAACAAAGCAGTAGCGCGCCAAATCGAGCCAGATGTGAGTGAAGAGGGCAGCGCCCCCAACTAACAAACTTGAGGAGACATTGAGGGAGCAAGCCGAAGAAACGACAAACCAGTCAGTCATTCAGTCAGTGCAGCACTGCATGGTGTATGGCGATGATGGTCGGGTGCACTGCACAGCATTGACATTGCTTTCGGGGGACTTACCGTTTGCCGTCTAATCCTGCGATCAAGATCACATCGCACAGCTTCTCGTTCTGTAGGTACTCTAGAAGGGAAGAGATACAAAGAAAGAAGGAAAACATAAAGCAACTCGTGATTATTTACTTGACAGTAATTAAAATTTCCTGCAATTAGAGAAGCGAGGTCGGAAAGGTTAGCAGATAATCGTTCTGCGAGAGGTTCTCAGGGGACGGATTCGAAATGGAGAATAAAGAGTGGTGTTGAAATCAAGTACATACTAAGCGAACACCACACGTACCAATATATTGATGCGAAGGGGGAATTATTGACAATAATATTGTGACGACAATAATATTGATATGTATTGTTTCACTTCTGACCTCCCTGATTTGCCTCAGGGTTGCCACAAATCTGTGTTGACTGATGACACAGGTATTTCCGCTAAAGGAAGAAGGCTTCGTGTTATTTACAGCAGACTGCAGAAAAGTCTAGATATTTTCTCTTATTATTTACAAAAATGGAAGATTTCTTCCAACGCTTCCAAAACTCAACTTATAATATTTCCACATAAGCCTAGAGATTCCTTTCCTCAATTGCAACGATTAATTCCCTTTATACTTAGTCTATTTTCAAACATTATTTATAGAAGATAAATCGTAAACACAGCTTCTAATGTAATTGTTTCACAATCATCACCAGCATTATCAACATGATAGATAATCACCTAACTAACTTTTGAAACTAGGGAGCAAATATAGGAAAAAAATAGCATTCGTTTCCGTTTTTCAATGAACCATGCATGAGAGCTTGAAGTTGTAAAGAAACAATCTCAAAAGTCATAACTGCAGGGTTGCCCAACTCATGGGGTACTGAGACCGACAGTTTGATTGCCACAATGCGGCACGTTCGGCACAGATAAAGCACTAGGCACAGATTGAGATGTGTAGAGTTAAGTACCCCTTTGATTCTCCAAATCATCCTCAAGTCGAGATCTCAAAGATCCATATGCTCGACGAGATACTGCACCATTTTCCAATTAAAACGCACTTCAGGTTCTCAAAATCATCCTGAAATACTGATGCGACTCTGGCCCACAAATCCGAAGATAAACCCATAGAGCTTCTTAGAGCGCCACAATACAAGGTGGAATATATGGTTGTTATGACAAAGTATTTAGGGCTCTATAAATCATCCTGAAATTTAGATCTCGATAGCTCAACAAAATCTTGTACGATGACCAGGCTAACTATACCGTAAAATCACACAACATCACAAGGTATACTGTTGCGTCAACAGGATATTCCTAATTGGAATATTGTTTAGATATTGTAGGTATATAGGCATTCCACTAGAAGCCATCCAAAAACTTTATGAATCAATTCCCAGACGAATCCAAGCTGTTTTTGAAGCAAATGGTGGTCCAACATCATATTAGACGGTTCCATTATAACATTTTCCTACAATTTTAAATGGCATTTTTCATTTATAAATAATAATCCATTAATAATACATAGCTTTGCAAATAGCAAATAGCTTTGGAACCCAGCTTAAAAGCGCAACTTTTCAAATAAGAATGGTTTATTTGCACTGTCACTATTGTTTATTTGAAATGCAAATGCAAAAGTGCTGGCGAACATCTCCAGAGCTGACGTCGACAGTACTTTTATTCATTAAAGAGTTGTTGTTGTGCTCTTGCTACACCTTACATTAATACAAGAGAGAAACTTTTATTGGTATACAACCAGAGTTTAAAGACCTAATCTCCCTATCCACTGCTAGTAGTCAATGGTCAATTTCAAGACTTCAGATAGTTCGAGCTGTCGAACGGCATTGTGCAGTGAAAATACAATTTTCCTCTTACATTCATCCTGGGGCATCTGCTGGTTCCAGAATGAGCTCCCCAATGGCATTGTTTTGTGTAAAAATGTGATTGCATCCTACTACAGGTTCCCCCAGGGCATTCCAGTGACTCCGCAAAGGTCAATGTGGTCAATGATCCACTTTAATTCTATAGAAAGCATATTCATGAAAATCCATGAAGAAAGAGCTGTCGCACGGCATGTTTTTGAGTAAAAACGCAATTGTCCCCTGCTACAGGTTCCCCCCGAGGGTATCCCGTGATTCAGAGAGCTGTCAATGTGGTCACTGATCCATTTGAAGTTTGATGAATGCCTATTCATGAAAAACCACGAAGAATGAGTTGTCGCACGGCATGTTTTGGTGTAAAAATGCAATTGCCCCCTGCTCCAGGTTCCCCCGGGGGCATACCGGAGGTCCCGAGAGCGGCCAATGTGGTAAATGAGTTACTTGAAGTCTATAGAAAGAATATTCATGAGAATCCATGAAGAAAGAGCTGTCGCACGGTTCGTTTTTGAGTTAAAACGAAATTGTCCCCTGCTACAGGTTTTTTCGGGGCATCCCAGTGGTTCCGAGAGCAGCCAATGTGGTAAATGAGTCACTTGAAGTATATAGAAAGAATATTCATGAGAATCTATGAAGAAAAAGCTGTCGCACGGCATGTTTTTGAGTAAAAACGCAATTTCCCCCTACTACAGGTTCCCCCCGAGAGTATCCCGTGATTCAGAGAGCTGTCAATGTGACCACTGATCCATTTGAAGTTTGATGAATGCCTATTCATGAATAACCACGAAGAATGAGTTGTCGCACGGCATGTTTTGGTGTAAAAATGCAATTGCCCCCTGCTCCAGGTTCCCCCGGGGGCGTACTGGATGTTCCGAGATTGGCCAATGTGGTCAATGATGCATTTAAAGTTTATCGAAAGTCTATTGACGAGAAACCATGAAGAACGAGCTGTCGCATGGCATGTTTTGAGTGATTAAATGATCTGCCCGCATTCAGAACCCTCCACCAGAACCGATTCCAGGGAAATGACCATATCTCGGTTGATTATAAGCCGATTTTAGTTCTTGGCATATGATTCGCTTTAGAAATGGTTCTTCGTTCGTTGGTTTAACTAAAAATATATATATTTAACCAGCATCATATATAAAATTTCACCAAAAATTTACCAAGTTAGACAAGCCCTCCGGAAACCCGGAATCTGGTGACTAGGATTATTTTCGTGGCTACACCGTAGAACAATACATATTAGTTTTCCAGTCAAATGCTCTTAGAAGATTTAAATTCAGATCATATTTTACGAAGTTACAAAACTCCAAAGTTGACCAAAAATTTGCCTATCCTAGTTATTGTGAGTAACCCCTGTATTACTCTTCTGATAAAACTCAGTCAGAACATCACAGAAGACCCCGCTGAGCATGCAGAACCTCAGGATCCAAACTCCATCATGCTTTGGAGAAACTAAGATACCATGTTATCACAACCACTCGCCCCGCACTAAGTGATTCCACGAAGTTCAACGGACTCGTACAGCAATCGGAAACACAGCGGAAGACCCGGCTGAACCTGCATAACATCAAGTTCTGAACTTCAGGCACTGTAGAGAATCTGAAGTATTTTTCTAAAACAACTTATTTCACACATGACATGGTAAGCACCACGGGTTCGTATAATAAGCCAAACCAAGACATCGCACAAGATCCCAGCTTCCGAACACCCTAGAGAATCTGAAGAACTTCATCACCACAACTCCGTATGATACTACGGAGTTCACAAAGCCCCATGGGTTCAAAACCTCCACTTAGCAGGTAGAACATCAACACTCAACCGCAGAGAAATCTCAAGGGGTTGGTCACTCCGCAGTGTGCCAAAAATACAGACGGGTACACCTGGTTAGACATTTTCATTATATTTAAAGTTACTGGCAACACTGTACTATATCTGCGAATGATTTTTTTTTTCTAATTACTTTATTTGTACAGGTTCAATCGAATAAACTTTACAGAGCCGAGTTATCCTTTGCGTTATACATTATTACTGTCTTAAATTTAAAGTTAAAGGAACTGGACCGAGTACTCGCGGTTGTCTCGAGGTTAGTGGAGATTTACAATTTTTTGGATAGGAAAAGGGAAGAAGGAGGTTTAAAATGTGGTTTACGATACAACTATTTAATTAATCCTAAAGCATGAAATTATTTCTATTCATCTTGAAAACAAACATTGAAAAAAACCCCACACGTACAAAATACAAACTAAACACAAGGTTAATCAAACTTACAATCTAAGGTTCATATCCTTAAAGTAAATATATATGAGTTTCATAAACTCCAGATCGCGTCTAGACAAAATATCCCTAACTGGAACATTAGGTTGTCTACCTCGAGCCCGAAGGGAATCATAAAAATGTGATCTGACTCCACGATACTCCGCACAAGACCAAAGGATGTGATCAGCGTCCTGGTAACCTTGTCCACATTCACAGAGATTGCTGTCTCCCAACCCCACACGGAACAAGTGAGCGTTTAGACAATAGTGATTGGACATGAGACGAGACATCACGCGTATGAAGTCTCGACCCAAGTCCAACCCTTTGAACCATGCAAACTTCGACACCTTAGGGATAATTGAATGTAGCCATCGTCCCAAGCTCCCTTCACTCCATTGATTTGTCGAAATGATAATCATTTGACAATCACAATCAGATTTTTGATTTCATAACTTCAACCGTGAATTTCCTCACAGTGGACGTCTTGTCAAAACATTAGGATGAGCGAGGTCATCAAGGCGATGACCGGTGCCAAGTACAACAGTAATCTGGAGGTCTTACTGGCATTCTTCCGGATGGTGCTGGAGTCGTTACCGGAAGACTTCGAGATCGTAGAACCTCCACTCAAGACGATCGAACTGTTCGAGGATCTGGTCCGGAAGCTGATTGAAAAGATGACCATGAAGGGACTGCTACTGGTCATAATGCCGATTCGGAATGTGATTAGTGAGTTGGTTAGTGGGGAGAGCGAAACCCTGAAGGAGGAAGTGAAAGGAACGTTGAAGATGTTGGTAGATCGATTTGTGGCGCGGAGATTCGTGACGGAGCTGAACTCACAACCGAAGGAATTGTAAAATGTTGATTGGTCAGTTGTTGGGCTTGAAGGTGAGCTCCTGAAAGTTGACATCGGTAAGTTGGTTGAAGTATAGGTTTAGCTCTTAGACACGACTCGGGTAACCC